ATGCGATTGAGCCTCCGTAGGGCTGCTTACGCGTAGTCATAATGGTAAGTGAATGCGTTCTGTAAAACAGAGTAAAATTATTGGTGATACCCTTCCTGCGGCTCCACAGAGGTCTGGCGCGCACGTGCCCTTTGTAACATGCACCTGATTAGAAGCCAGCCATTCCTCATCTCCCACGAGCAGCCTTGTCCAGCAGGTATTTGGCATTCCAAGAATGTGGCCTGGAAAACATCTGGGGGAGAGGATTTGGGGCTTGAGCAATGCAAATTGCTCGTGAAGTGTGCAAGGAAAAGGCCAGATCGGTCTAAGGATGGTGGTTCTTAGCTTCAGTGGGGAGTGAGCCCCAACTCCCTCCGGACTTCTTGTTGCTCTTCTCCCTGCAGCGTACGAGCTGCCCTGCCACTTGCAAGCAAGGCTCCAGATGCCAGAGGTGCCTCTTCGCCTACTGCACCTTTCCCAGAGAGACCTTCTGCCTGTATCAGCACCTCCCTTGAACATGAATAGGTGCCAGACCAAAGGTTTTTGGGTCACAGCCAAAGTGGGGGGGCACTGAGAGGGGCTGGCTGGGAGGCTGCAGATACTGAGATGTTTTGGTGTGGAATGTGAGAGGCGCTGCATATAATGAAACTACGGCAAAGCGATCTGCCTGGCCCGTGCAGCTCTCGCAGAAATGAGCAGACGCCTGCAGACGGAACCTTTGGTATCTCTAAATAAATCATGATGCGTAGCATATTCCATCTATAGCTCTCCAAGTGCTTTTACAGATGGAGCAACCGAGGCATTTTTGGCCTCTCTCACCCTCCTATTCTCTCTCCTCTCCTGGAAGTCTGGAAGAGAGAGCCCCCGCATTTCCTCAGCTGCGTCCAGGGTCTCAAACCTCCTTATCCCCAATCAGGGGACATGGATGCCTTGAGCAGGACCCACAATATAGCTGAGGGATGCATATGCACAGAAGTTGTGCATGCCAGTGCTGTGCTCCTAATCTTTGATGAAGGTGCAGGTACCCTCTTCCTCCCCTCGCCTTGCTGCCGCACCTCAAATGTACGCAGGCTTCAGGGTAGTTCGTCGAGCCACACGCACACGACTGTCTTGCTAGTCTTCCAGATGGATATCTGACAGAAGCTGGCAGGGTGGTGGAAGCCTGTCATTTCATTGCTCCAAGTGTTGTCAACCAACAGCGCTTTCATTAGAAATGTAGCTGGCGGATAGCAGAGTACCTGCCTATCTCAATAGGCAGTTGCATGCACGCAAACACAAAACAGGGCGCACACCTGCTGGTATTGAGGTGAGGGGGTGGGGGAAGTGGTACAAAGTGGGTCTGTGTAATTAAAGGCAGAATAACCACCTTCGCCGCTTCTCTCCTGCAGCATAAAATAGGACCGAGACGGAGGGGTTGGCTCCTGGCGATCTAGCAGTGGCAGCATGAAAAATGAAGAAGAGAGCGATAAGAAACTAATAATTTATGTTCCAAGCACAGACTCACACCAGTGTAGAGGGAAATTTGTGCCAATAACTCCTACTAACTCAGAAAGGCACGCAATCTTTTATTGCACAAATTATTAACGACCAGAAAATAAATGACTCTGTAATCAGATCGGTGCTGCCGGCACTTTTCGTTTCTTCTTTTATTTGTATAAATTCTGAAGCCAATCCGCCCCTGAAGCTTAGGCAAGGGGAACTTTTATTGGCCTGCTGCCCTGCTTGACAACAGAACAAATTAAACAGCAATGAAGCGGGAACATCCTGGTATCTCCTGGCCTATCGGAGATGGGTTTGTTCAGCAAACATTTGCTGACCCCTTGATTGAGCGCTGCTCGGCGCACCTGCGCTGGGTTCCTGCAGGAACCCGGAGTCGGAAGCCTGTTCTACATCGACTGAAGTAGCCGCGCCGCAAAATTGTGATCCTCGAAGCAAAATTGCGAGGAGATTTTTCCACCATCTTGTTTTCTGCCCCATTCCTTGTTCAGACCCCGTTATTCTAACCCCATGGGCATCCTTGGATACGCATCGCCCAACATAAGCTCCTGGTCATTATTTTGTTTTCCCGCCTAGCTCGAGGAGGCACAAAAGGGGTCCTGGGAAACCTCGAGTCTTGATGTGTTGGGTTCATCTGAGCACCACCCAAATGGAAATGAGGCCTGACACCGGCAGATGATTGAATCCCTTGAACTTTCCCTGAATCACTATCCTCCCATTGTGACCGTGGAGCAAGGAGAAACTGGACAGGAAGCCGACATAGTGAAAGGGAAGAGGAAAATGAATGACTTTTTGGAGGGTTTGTTCACACGGCCGCAAATGCCCTCCTCTTGTACGTGGTTTTGTTGCGAGCCACGTGCAGATCTGAAACTGGATTAGCTTTAGGAAGTTGAGTTTGCTGCCAAAGCAAGACAGGAGGCCATGTTTGGGCTTGATGGTGCTGAAAGCCCAGGACCTGTCTGGTGGGATCTCTGCCCTGAAAAGGAGGAAGTCCTACTTTATCCAGTGAAACCTCCACTCTCTTGAATGCAACTGAACTGATGCTCATGTTTCTTTGTTTAGTTTGTCTAGCGAGGGAGACCTGGAGATTGATGACAGGTTCTTTCTTTGTGTCTTCAAAGCTAATACAAGGACCCTTGTAAATGGGCATTTTGGAAGTAATTGTCACCTGCAGTTACTTGGCTAGGCTGCTGAGAGATGCAGTCTGCTGCAATGAGGGCAGGGGGCTGGACTCGATGGTCTTCCGAGGTCCCTTCCAGCCCTAATGTCTATGAAATCTATGAAGGGGATATAAATGCCTAGACAGATTCAGTAGGCCTATTCCAGCTCTTCGTTCTTTGTACCATGGCATGCCTGGGGATCTCATGGACGTGCTATACCAACATATTGTAAGTGACTCCTCCCCTACCCCATACTAGTGCTAAGTTCCTGCAGTTTGGTGTTTTTCAGGGCGTAAAGATTCCTACTGTAAGTGAACCTCGGTCATTATTAAGAAGCCAAGATGAGCTAGAAGTGGAGTTATGGTAGCAAACAGCTGTGAGGCCCAGAGTAGTTTTGGATCCATATCTGAACTTCCGTGTTGGAACCTACTGCTGTAACATGCTGAACCTAATACCTGGATTTGGACCCTCCTAATTGTAAGGAGTTTGAATCTGGGTCCGGTGTTTGTGAGGGTCCCTGTCTCCCTAGCAGGCCGGTATGATCCCGAAGCCTTGGATCCTAAACATTGATGCTTTTTGGTTATGGATCTATATCTAAGTATTGGAGCCACTCTTTATAAATAGGAGCGGGGAAGGGGTTTCTTCTGTCTCAGATGACACAAGAAATCCCTGGGTGCTAGAGAAACTTTGTGAAACCCCATGCTAAAGGATGATGGGAGGTTTCTACAGTGCACAGAGCCTCTTGCTTAATGGGAATTTCACTCTTTGAGGAAAAACGGCTGTTCTGTGTTTAATCCCGTGCGTTTTTTGCTTGCTGGGGGGAGTCCTGCCTGACCAGACTTTGATTACTGCAAGATTTAGATATTCCCATTTTTCTTGCCCCCCCCTTCCATTTATGCTGTCTGAACCATTTGATAATAAAAAGAAGGGTTTCTCTTGTTAATTCAACCCATTTATTATCACCGTCACCATCTCCCTGATGGCTTCATCGGAATAGGGGAGGAGGGGGAGAGACTCTTTCTGTCTGTCTCGCTCTCTCTTTTTTTTTTTTTTTTTTATTGGCAAGGGGGTGTTTGTGAAGGAGACCACAGCAAGGCTGCAATAATGAATAATGTGTAGATTGTTCCCAGGGACTGCAAGTGTTTTATTAAGGCAGGTTTTCTTAGACTGAATGCCCAATCACCACAGAACCATGAAACTCAAATTGCCTTACAGCTCTCTCATGAACATACTTTTAATCTCATTGACCTGTCGTTATACTACAACACATAAATTCAGATTTGGAGATCTTATGTCCAATCATAAATTGGGCTGGCAGACTTCCGATCAACAGAATAAAACTGTCTCCTGTGAGGTGGGTTTTTTATTCGCCAGTGCTGTTCCAGCAGACGGAGCGGAGGTACAGTCAGCTTTTCTTAATAAACTGTCATTAAAAAAAAAGTGGGGGGGGGGGGAGAGAAACGCAGCAGTGAAATTCATGGAAGAGGAAAGGAAAAAAATAAGGTGACATTTAAATAACATTAATGTTGGACATAAACTTACAGGACGTTGGAAATTCTGAATGAAGGGGTCTTAGCTCCTGCCACCATGGAGAATGGGGGAAAAATGAGAGCACTGGGGCACGGTGGCCTTAGGTGGGGAGCATCAGCCATGACTTTGTGTCTTCTGTGGGCCACTTGTCCCCCAGCTTTACGGAGGCTAGTTCCCTGCCATCCTTCTAAGTCCTTTTCTTCTTCTTTAAGTAGTGATTTAAAGCAACTAGGCAGGGAAATAAAATATTTGTCTGTCCAGCTCTCTGTCTGTCAGATAGCGTTTATCTGAACTCTGCAGTGAATGGGGGCGGGGAAGAATGGGGGATTTCTTTGGGTTGGGGTGTTGGATAAGAGGGAAAGCTTTCTCAGCCTAGTTTTTGACATTGGTTTGGGCCATTATGTGGAAGGAATCCCTTGCATAAAGACAAGTGCCCCTGGGCAAAGAAGTTTCCGCAAGGTACTGAGCATCTTTAACTGTGCTTAAGGATACTCTGCAACTTTTGGTTTCACAAAGGCCATTCCCTAGGACAGCCGTGTGGATGGGCTGAGGGGTGACTGCTGGTAGAACTGCATCCCAGCAGGGACTTTTTCCTTTGTGGATCATGGTGGAAGAAAGTCCCCTGGATGAGTTCTAGCCGCTAGCATTTTCTGTGGTCACTGGATATTTATGATGATGTGATAGTTCCAGTTGCAGCTTTGCACGGGTAATAATAGCACAGTTGCAGCTGTGCTATTGGATACAACCTCCCTAATTAATGCACAAAACCCACATACAGTATTTAATTTGGCGCTCATGCAATATGCTGACCTGAGCTCTTCTCTTTCCCTCCAGAACAGGTCTAGCAACAGGCAGTGCAAGCTTCCTCACACGCTGCCCCACCACTGTGCCTCCAGGCCTTGCCTGCCATGACTGACGCCAGGGGGTAAGTCAGTCTCACTGCTCATGCTACTCTTGGGCTGTCTTCTGAGATTGCAACCTGAGTTGGTAAATATGATGGTTTTCATGGTGTGGAAAGTAAGCTGCTGTGACACAGGCTTTTGGTTGATAACAGGTAGTCTCTGACAACCAAGACATACTTTGCTACACATGTCATCGCCTTGGGGGCCTGATACCACAGATAGGAGGAGGGGACATGCTATGCAAAGTGTGCCTGCCTTCCCAATTAAATGGAAAATGCTATGATTAAAAACAGTCAGAAGTTATTGGATGGATAGTGCTGAACTAGGGGCTCTGCACCTGCCTGTTCTGGTGCTACTAATGGCCTATTGGATAGGGGCAAATCCTGCACCTATCTTAACATCGGGCTCTGTACCCAGAGCGGGTCGAGCAGTAAATATAGGCACCTCCAGTTCTGTGGAATAACACCATTGCCTCACTTGGGTTAGCGATAGCGTGAGATGCTCGATGTGAGTAAGAGGGTCGGAAACTAGCCCTAGGTGAAATGTTGAAATTATAGAAGGACAGAAATGTAAACCTCCCTTTGAAATGAAAAGCAAACATTGCTCCTGCCCCCCCCCCCCCCCC